ATAGTAGTAGTAGTAGTAGTAGTAGTAGTAGTAGTAGTAGTAGTATCATTACGTATCCAAAGAGGACTTTAAAGAGTTTCTGAATAAGGCTTTTGAAAGGACAATTATTGTTAATAATTTATAATAAACCAAGTTCACTTCAAGATGTTTCTGTATTCCATCCCTTGCCGGGAGAAAGTTTGGAAATTTTGATTATTTGGGGACAGAAAGAAAGCGTGGTGAGTACTGTTGATGGTATGCCAATCGCAGACTCTGTCTCCAGCAATCTATTTTTTAAAAAGACAAGTCAGCAGAGACACCGAGAACACAATTGTGGTCAGGAGTAAAGTGAAAGTTACAATAAATTGTTAAATATCCAACTTTTTTTTTTCGCTATTCTTGCTTACAGACAATATCTAAATGTTCAACAACCACAACAATAACAACAACAACAATAATAACAACAACAACAACAAAAACAACAAAAATAGTAACACAACAAAAACAGCAACAACAACAAGAACAACAACAAAACAACAAAAACATCACAGCAACAGCAATAACAAAAAAAACCCAACAACAACAATAACAACACAACATTAAAAACAACAACAGCAACAACAGCAACAATAACAACAGCAGTAGCAACAACAACAAACCTTCATTATTGCTTTCCAATAATTGTCCACAGGGGAATCACGATATCTTGAATCTTCAGCGGTGTGCTATGATGAGGTATGTAGAAACTGTCTGCGTCTGTTGGAGAGGGTGGAGTAGTGGGGGTGTACATTAGAAGGTAGATATATATAAAGGTGAAAAGAGTAATTTACCCAAAGATAAAAACCAGTGGAGGTGTTAAGGGGGTATTACATGTTCAGCTAAAACTAACAGCTGTTTGTCCTGTTTGTGATAAGACATGGAAATAAGTAATGCAATCCTGATGAAAAATATTTCTGGGGTGTTTTATTTTATCTTCAACATCCGGCAAGGAAATGAATCATCCGTGAGTCATTTAGCTAATTTTGATACACCGATACCGAATTCGATATTATAATATAATATGATGCATTATTTTCGTACCACAAAGAGGAAGAGGGAAAACAGACCCTGTCAGTTTTTACTGTATGTGCCAAAGAAGGTGGGGGGAAACTGTCAGTTTTAACTGTACGTGTAATCACCCCTTAACCCTATCAAAGCGTCGTGGTTTACAATCATATCCTTACGACGTGGGGAGCTCTGTGCCACCACTTTCCAAAGAGGAAATTTACTCGTTAATCCGATCCGTACGCTTTGCATAGCAGTCTGTCAAAATGATTTTTTTGAGAAGTACTGAAAGTTTCAAAGAGATCTTCGCTCTTGAAGTATTCTTAAATGTGAAGAATACATACAACCCCTGAGGGTACAAAATGACCCCAGGCGTACGGAGAGGGTTAAGTGGGGCTGTAGCTGACGTTCACAACACTGTGAAGCTTGGCGCACTCCTTCTCCCCCTGCTGGGCCAGGAGTGACTTGTGAAACATCTTGGCCAGTCGTTAAACCACAATGAAATGGTCACTTCGTCACATTGGCAAATAAGTACTACGCGCGCGCGCGTGTGTGTCGTGTGAGTGAGTGTGTGTTTAATTGAGTGTGAGTGTGTGTGTGTGTGTGTGTGTTTATTGTGTGTATGTGTGTGTTTGTTTGTGTGTTTTTGTTTGTGCTTGTGTGTGTTTCCATGTGTATATATA